AGAGAGAGAGAGAGAGAGAGAGAGATTGACGACATTGGGATTCAGACCCGACATTTTTTTTATTTTTTTTTTGACTTCATCTTTAACTTCCCGGGAATGCATACCTCTCCGTCTGTTGAAAAACATAGTCATTTTTTTAAACTTCGTCTTGGAATAACTACAACGCCCAAAACGTTAAGAACTGCACGCGAGGTTAACAAAAAAAAAAAAAAAAAAAAAAAAAGCAGTGAAATGTCACAAAATAAAAGACATACACTTATGAGAGAGAGACTCTATTACTCACCAACAATACAATATAGTCACGACCACCGCAACCAACCAATACAACCGTCGAAAAGTGACAGTCACTTTTCGATGCCCGTATCACATACAGAGAAGACCAAGGCCGCTCCCAAGACATGTGAACGTAAACGCAGCGACCAAAACAGTTAACAACATGACACACTGTACTACGGATTCGCTGTCACAAAGTACGCCCATCGCCCATCCCATGGCCGTATTCACAAAAGTACGCCCATGCCATGGTCGTACTACAGATCCACTGTCACTTTTCGATGCCCATCTTTCGTTACACCGGGCTCCTCACATCTGACCTCGTCAGACCGCCTTGAACAAAAAAAATCAGCCTGCAGCAGCAACCCCTCACTTTCATTGATCGTCGTCGCTGTTCATACTAAAAACTGCTGCAACCCTTGCATCAATACGCGGTTTCTTCGCCTGAGCGCCTGAAGCTCCCTGTAGTGTCACCCGACCAAGGCATGTGTGTGTGTGTGTGTGTGTGTTTGTGTGTGAGAGAGAGAGAGAGAGAGTGGGGGGGGGGGGGGGGGGGGGGGGGGGGGGGGGAGGGGGGGATTATGAGGTCAGCCAAAACATGAGGTAGCTGGTCGAGGGACATCATCATGACCATAAATAATAATATCAACTTTCCACTCTTCATCAAGAAAGGACAAATTCTTCAAACGTTTCCTTTCAAAGAAGCCCAACAGATCCAAACAGCTGATTCCATCTCCACAGCACAAAAAGTACTGGAAAAGCGGTGTCAACCTGATATATTGTCACATCACTACAAACTAAAAGAGCGCACTTTGCGGAACAAAGAATAAAAGCAAAAAACGGGCACAGTGATAACATGCAAAAATAAAAACAAAAAGAAAAAACAAGGGCAGATTGAAACCATTAAATTTCTCATTC